ATGCAATATATAGATGGGCCCGTGATCGAGGGGTGGACTTAGGAATGGACACTATTGCCCAGGTGTCGTGGTTTAAACCCAGTCAGGTAATTCGTTCGCTCACTTCCCCCCCTTTCTTGCCCTCCCCCTGCTCTCGGAGGGACGGAGAGGAGAATCAAAAGAATGCAACTCCCACGGGTTGAGATAAGAACAGTTTAGTAACTAAGGTATAACACAAATCACTACTGCTACCACCAATGATAATAATGATAAAGGAAATAACAAGGGAAGAGAATACAACACCTCACCACCCGCTGACCGATAACTCGCCCCCCAAGCCCGACCAAGCTCCGACCAATACCTCCTCCAACCCTGCAGTCTCCCAGCCCTTCCAGCTAACTCCCAGTTACATCCTGGGCATGACGTGCTGTGGTATGGAATACCTCTTTGGTCAGGTTGGGTCAGGTGTCCTGTCTCTGCTTCCTCCCAGCTTCCCCTCCTCCCTGGCAGAGCATGAGGCTCACAAAGTCCTTGGCCAAACCAAAACATCTCTATCAGCTCTGTTCCCGAGCCGAAAGTCAAAACACTGCACTGCACCAGCTACCAAGGAGGAGAAACATGACTGCTACTGCTGAACCCAGGACATTATCCACCCCTTATTCCATACCATTCACGTCATGCTCAGATCCCACATTTTCAATATACCATCACTCTTATCTCGGTGCACTCTTATCTTAGTGCATGGACCAGTCCCTATAAAGCTGCTGAGTCCATCTGGTCCATGTCAGGCTCCATCTCTTGTAACAGTCTTCCAGAGCAGGAGAGACTGTGTGCAGTGTTCACACTCGTGAATAACCTGGGCAATAGTGTCCATTGTAAGTCCACCCCTCGATCATGAGTCCATCTCTGTGTTGCATCTCTGCTCTGATGGCCTCAAGTGCCATGGGCCCACCAGGCTTAAAATAATTCACTGTCCCCTTAAGCAGTTTCTGCAGCTTGTTGCTGGGGACTCCATACAGCTGCCTTCCATCTCCGATGCTTCCAAAGCACTGGAGGGGCCCAGTGGACTAGATACTTGCCCATACTGTCCCACACACCCTGCCACTCATGACTCTCCAGCCTTGGGGAAAATCTCTTGGTCCCCCTATATTGTTGTCTAACCCCAGACAAGACCCAAACCTGACTCTGCTTAACTTTTGAGATCAGACAAAATGGTGGTGGGTAGAACACAGCCTGTGTGTGTGCCAACATGCTGATCCCCATCACAATCAGCAGGCAGGTCCCAAGGATACCCAAAGGCCATTCAGAGCCTTCAGAACTCTCAAACGATGCTGCTGTGCTTGTCACTGGGGCTGGTGTAGCTGCTGTGCTTGCCGGCTCTCCCACCACCGGCTTCTCTTTTCCTGAGTCCAGCTCTTCCTCCTCTGCCTTGCTGGGAAGTGCTGCGTGGTCTCCTGCATCCTCCTGGGGCTCGGCGGGCGGCTGCCGGGGAATGCTCTCGGCCGTCGCGGGGCTCGGCTCCTCCGCGGGGCTGGGCTCGGCCACCGGGCTCGGCTCGGCCGCGGGGCTCGGCTCCTCCGCCGCCTTCTCCCGCTGTTCGGCAGCCGCCTCCTTCCGCTCCTCGACCGCCCCGACCTCCTCCACCGGCAGCCGTCCCCTCGCGGCCTCAGGCCCCGCTCCCGCCGCCGCTTGGTCCCCGGGGCCGCTCTCCCGGGCCGCTTCAGCAGCCGCCGGCTCCCGGGGCCGCTCCCCCTCAGTTCCCCGCAGCCTCACGAAGATGGAGAGTAGGGCGAGGGCCAGGACGGTGAAGAGCAGCCGGACGGCCAGGTACAAGTCCACGGCCACGTCCGTCCCGCCCTGCTGCTGGAGCCCACCCGTATTACAAGCCATTGCCATAAAGCACAGTGAGACAAGAACCTTAGCCCAGGCCCCACACTTGATAAACACTATCACAGCAAATACCGGCTCTACGTAAGTTACAACGGTCTGAAGCTGTGAGATCAACAAGAACAACTCTGAGAGCCAATAAATCAGCATTGTGACGAATGACTATTAATCCAGTCAAATCTGTCGTTATCTCAACCCTTCGTGCCCCACGTTGGGCGCCAAAAAGAACTGTCGTGGTTTAAACCCAGTCAGGTAATTCGTTCGCTCACTTCCCCCCCTTTCTTGCCCTCCCCCTGCTCTCGGAGGGACGGAGAGGAGAATCAAAAGAATGCAACTCCCACGGGTTGAGATAAGAACAGTTTAGTAACTAAGGTATAACACAAATCACTACTGCTACCACCAATGATAATAATGATAAAGGAAATAACAAGGGAAGAGAATACAACACCTCACCACCCGCTGACCGATAACTCGCCCCCCAAGCCCGACCAAGCTCCGACCAATACCTCCTCCAACCCTGCAGTCTCCCAGCCCTTCCAGCTAACTCCCAGTTACATCCTGGGCATGACGTGCTGTGGTATGGAATACCTCTTTGGTCAGGTTGGGTCAGGTGTCCTGTCTCTGCTTCCTCCCAGCTTCCCCTCCTCCCTGGCAGAGCATGAGGCTCACAAAGTCCTTGGCCAAACCAAAACATCTCTATCAGCTCTGTTCCCGAGCCGAAAGTCAAAACACTGCACTGCACCAGCTACCAAGGAGGAGAAACATGACTGCTACTGCTGAACCCAGGACACCAGGTTATTCACGAATGTGAAGCATGTGCTGCAATTAATCAAGCCAAGCAGTTAAAGCCTCTCTGGTATGGAAGATGATGGCTGAAGTACAAATACAGGGAGTCCTGGCAGCTTGACTATATCACATACCCACCAACCCACCAAGGCAAGCGCCATGTGCTTACTATGGTGGAAGCAACCACCAGTTGGCTGGAAACATAGGCTGTGCCCCACAACACTGCCTGGAACACTGTTCTTGGCCTTGAGAAACAGTTCTTCTGGCAACACAGCACCCCTGAGAAAATTGAGTCAGACAGTGGGACTCATTTCCAGAATAACCGTATAGACATTTGGGCCAAAGAGCACAGTATTGTGGGTGTATCACTTCCCCTATCATGCACCAGACTCTGGGAAAATCAAATGATACAATGGACTGTTAAAATCCTATACAGAGAGCAATGGGTTGCGGGACCTTTGAATATATGAATATCCATTTAGCAAAATCCCCCTGGTTAGTCAACACTAGAGGATCTGCCAACTGGGCTGGCCCAGCCCAATCAAAACTACTGCATATTGTAGAGGGGGATAAAGTTCCTGTGGTGCATGTGAAGAACGTGCTAGGGAAAATAGTTTGGGTTATTTCTGCTTCAGGCAAAGGCAAACCCATTGGTGGGACTGCTTTTGCTCAAGGACCTGGGTGTTACTTGAGGAGTAATGCAGGAGGATGGGGAAGGCCAGTGTGTACTGGGATTTGATTTAGGTGAAAATATCCACTGAATTTAACTATGTGATGTTAATTGCTTTGTATTACTACATATTGTCACTTTGGCTATATGTCCGTTGGGGCTCTATGTCCATCACCACAGTCAGCCCCTCACAAAGCCCTTTTTTGCTACTCTGGATTTAAGGATCTGAACTTGGTTCCTTTTTGATCTCCACATTAAAGAATGAACTTTAATTAAACTGTACAAGCACAGTGGTAATGGAATCAGAACTGGGTTCAGCATGCAACAATCCAGCACCTCACACCACCTTTCCTGCCCTGAAAGACTGTTATAACAGATGGAGCCCCAGGTCATGGACTATATGTGCTCAACGTACTTTATTAGGGATAGTCCATGGACTAAGGGAATGATATCTGTATGTTTATATATGTCTCTATCAAAAGGCAGGAAAATTGATGGTTTTCTGGCATGATGTCAATGATATGGAGTAAGAGATGGATACTGTCCTGGTTTCAACTGCAAGAGTTAATTTTCTTTCTTGTAGCTGGTACAGTGCTGTGTTTTGACTTTAATCTGAGAATAATGTTGTTAACACGCCAATGTTTTAGCTTTTACTAAGTAGTGTTTACCCTGATCACAGACTTTTCAGCCTCTCATGCTCTGCTAGTGAGGAGGGGCACAAGAAGCCAGGAGGGATCATAGCCAGGACAGCTGACTCAGACTAACCAAAAGGATATTTTATGCCATAGAACATCATGCTTGGTATAGAAACTGGGGGGAGTTGGCCAGAATGGGCCAATTGCGGTTCAGGTTGGGGTCGGTATGTCGTTGGGTGAACAATTGTGTTATGCATCACTTGTTTTTTGTGTGGAGGGGGGTGTTTTATTCCTTCCTCCATTCCCCCCCCCAATAATATTGTATTATTATTCTATTTTACTTTGATTTCAATTATTAAACTGTTCTTATCTCAACCCATTGGTTTTTACATTGTTTTCCAATTCTCCTGCCTATCCCACTGTGGAGTGGGGGGGAAGTGAGCAAGCAGCTGCCTGGTACTTAGCTGCCAGCTGGGCTTAAACCACAACACTCAGTTCCCAGTCTTTCACTCAGGAGCCGCTACTTTCTTTTGCCATCCTGAGACCATGTAGACTACAGCAGTAGGACGATTAACATGTTTGGTTTTTTGTTTGTTTTTTTTTACTGAACACTAACCATCTTAAACAAACAGCTTTCTCATTATTCACTTTGAAACAACTTGAGTTAGATATCAGGAGAAAGAAAGGAGTGCTCTGCCTACAGCTGGGGGATGTCTTCCACATGGAAGCAGGTATGCTCTGTGCAGCTGCATGTCAAGCTTTCCTAAATACGCCCTAATGGAACTTTTAATCGCATAGAAAAACTGAGAAATATATATGTGTGTGGTAGGGGGCTTTAATATTAGACAGGAAAATCCTGAAACCAAATAAAACCACACACCACACTAAACAGTAACCTGTGGCCTAGGGCCAGGTTCCCTGCCACGCTGCATGGGTCATGGGCGTCCCTCAGGCCGGGTCGCCCCTTGTCCCTTGCCCCATGAGCTGCAGCGGGCACCAGGAACAGCACCGGCCCCAGCTCCCGTTCGCTGTGGCTGCGGCGGCGGGTGGAGAAGCGAGAGCCTGCTATCTCTGGCCCCGGCTGTATCCGGCACGGTAAGGAAGTCGCTTTGGCTTCACCACCCCCACTAAGCGGCCCTTCCTGCCGCCAAAGCCTGGCGGCGCTGTCCTCCTCCCAGTTGTTGCTCCTCCTCCCCTCACTGTCCCAGGGCGCAGGACTGACATCACACCCAGAGTTTCCATCCGACTAAGGTAGGAGGAGGAAGAGGTTGAGCGGAGTGGCAGCATGATGGCGGTGGTCGGTAGGACTTAGGAAACGGCGGCGGAGGAGGAATCCAGTACCTGCTCCCCAGACCTATTGTTCAAGCTGGTGGGGGCTGCGGGCTCGCCGTGTGGGGCCTTAAGGAGCCGGCGGCCCAGGCCCTGTGGTAGCCGCAGGAGCAGCCTCCGACCCTAGGTTGCAGCACAGACATCTTCGTGGGGTGTAGCGCCCTAGGGAGGCCGGGCCGGGCGCACACACGCAGGTAGGCAGAGGCCCACCATGGCTCCTTTCCTTGGTCCGGAGTTATGTGGTGGCTGTGGCTTTCAAAGATGGATGGTGAGGCGAACTGACGTTGAGAAGAAGGGGTTGGATGCCCAGCGCGCGCCTGGGCTCCTGGGCCCGCTCGCTGTTTTCCAGGGAGGGAGGGAGCTAGCTAGCTGTGAGAGCTGGAGGCGGGTTCTTTCGCTGGCTTCTACGGGGGGAGGTTGTGACGAGCAGGTTGGGAAGCAGGAGTGCCGCCTTCGCTCTTCTCTGGCCATGTGGGGGCGCTGAGAGAAGCGAGAACGGTGGACAGCGGCCGCCTTAGCAATACTGCCAGAGAGCCTTGGCCAGGAGCGGCGCCTGTGTGGATCGCGCTACCACCAGAGGGCCGTCTCTGGGGGCGGAAGGTGAATCCGCGGGAGGTAGGGAGGCAGCCCTAGCTTGCGGTCTCTCCAGGAGCGCGTTGGGAATGGTTGGTCGCGGGAGACCGCGAGAGCGTGGTGCGGGTGGTCGGGGAGGATCGTCGCGGAGCAGGGAGCGGGTGACAAGGAGGGAGTTTCGTGGCCGCTAAAGATGATTATTGGGGCTCGGGGATTGCCGGTCCCGGAGGCGGCAGGGTGTTCGCACCCTGGACGCGGGAGGGCAGGCAGCGCGGAGCTTGGCCTCGTTGGGCAGCAGCGGCCGATCCGCGAGGAACCACCTAGCTGCCCGGCTTGCCGCCGCGGGGCTTTAGCGTCGCTTCGCGGCCTCAGGTTACAGGGCTCTTTCCGATCACATTTCTGTCGTCATCGCCTTTGTTTGTTGGTTGGAGTGGCCTTGGTGTCTGAGATAGTGCCTCAGCGCAGGGCTTTTTCCATCCCGGAGAGAGGCGGCCCCCGCCTCCATCATGAGCTGTAGATCGGGCTGTATTAGAGAGCACCTTGAGGCAGGCAACCTGCAGGCGAGCCCCTAATCGATTTCACACCACTAAATCCATAAGATGTACTGCTGATTATCAATGAGTTTATACTTGCACTCCATTTAAAGTAAGCCTAAACTGTAAGCCTAAACTTTTTCTAGGTGCATCTGACACAGTAGATATCTGATTGAAGATGTTCATGTATATGAAACAATGATAATTCCATCTGTGGGATCTTGTCAGCTTGATGTAGCTGAGCCAGTTTTTAAAAATGGGAGTCTTTTCTTTTCCTGCCTCTACCCCCAGCTGGATGTTAACATTATGTCTGTGTTTGGAAATGTTTCTGATATGTTTGTGAATGTGCATGAAATAGTTTTGCTAATCAGATCTCAGAGCATTAATATCTATAATTTATATTTATGTAGTTGGGGAGGCTGTTTTCCTTTAAAAGTTAGATCTAGCTGTTAAGACAGGACTATGGCATGCCAGTAGTGATTTTTTTTTTTTTTTTTTAGTGAAAAAGAAGATGTCAAATATGATAGATACTCCCTTTCAGTGTTGTAGTGACAGGACAGGTTATTTTCATTATCTTTCAGTTGCAACCAGCAAATATTTCAAATTATGTTAACATTTTCCTTTACTATTTTAGGTAATTTGGGAAAAATCCTCAATACCTGCAGAGACCAGTTGAGTAAATAAGTCACCTGGAAAACAGAGTTCCAAGAAGTGGATTCTTGACATCTGCCTTCTAACCTGAGTGGACTTCTACTTCTCTTTTAAACTTTTTAATATTTATGATGAATGGACACAGTGATGAAGACATTGTAAGAAACAGTAGTGGAGAGTCAAGGTAAGCACTTTCAGTCCTTGGCTATGTATTCTGTATTTTGTTTATCAGAACAGGTTTATGTTTTAACTTTATGTCAAAGCTTCCCTGGTAAGCAAGTAGACCATTATTTAAGAGGACTGGCCATGCATTTTTACAGATGCTTAATTTGCTTTTTAAAATTTGCTAGATTCATTTAATAGCTGTAACAGTCATGTGTATATACTTTACATAATACAGTTTTAATACTATTTAAGCTCTATCAGCATCTATTACTCTTTTTCCTCAAAATTTGTCTGAAATGTCAAAAGGTAAAACAGATTAGATTGAAATATTAAACTTGTGTCTATGAAGTGCAGGGCATTCATGCATAATATATGCTATATAAACCCCAAACTAGGCTATCTCTAAAGTTGGAACAGTGGACTGTTAATTCTAATGAGGCTTCCTTTTTATGTTTAGTTGTCAAAGCAGTATAATGGAAAGTGTTGACTTCATGTTTGCTTTTTTCCAAAGTGAAAGTACAGTTTTCCCAGCTGTCGTCTTAATTAAAAATAAAAATTCTCCCCTCTAATGTTGATTGCTGGTGTTCTAGGATGTTTAGAGGGTTCACTTGGTTGGAAAAGCCTGGTTAGAACTTCCCTGCTACGAGATGAGGAAAACTGTGAACTTGGGGTGAAATTAAATTCTGATTCTAGAACACTGATAACTTCCTAGTGCAGCAGATATTTGTTGAACTTAATATTTCTAAAACTGGGAATATGATGAATGCTACAGATTTAAGAAGGCAGGGCAAACTTACAAATAGAAGTGTTTGTGATCATGCTGTCAGTTTACCCATCTGTCTCCTCGTCCTTCTGATCGCAGTCTTTTGCACCTGTTAGTTGATTCCATCAGTCAGAGGTCATAAAGAAAACTGAGTTCTGTGGGCTTCATGAAAACAGCCACTTGGATAGAGGGGATAGATCTAAGTAATTGCCCCAACTGAGGAAATCCAAGAATAATGTAGTGGCCAGACAGTCACTCAGCATGTGCTGGCCATTAAGCTTGCATGTAGCATAGTGAGTAATGGGGTGGGAAGAGGAAGTGTTTAGGTGATATTAGGTGCAAATCTCTAGGAAACCTATGAGCAGTAAAACTAAAGAAACTTTAACAACTTCTGTGGATTTTTTTTTTTTTTAAATGTTAAGCTTCCCTATTATATCTAGACAGTCAGTAAACTTTTAATCTTGTTAATAATTTGTAAGGGGTTTTTTGTTGTTAGATTTCTGCTTCCAGTAAAGATGGTGCTTGTCTAGTTAGCAAACAAATTTTGGGCTTCTTCTAGTAAGTAGCAAAATATTCCTGATTATTTATATTAAAAAAAAACAAAACAAACCCAAAACTCAAACCCAAATAACAACAACAAAACCCCAAATGAACCAAATCCATAGCAAGCCTTGCCAGTTGAGTACAGGAACATGAACAAAATAAAACAGTGTGAACAAAGCTAGTCTTCTGAACTTTTAGAGAGTTATAAGTAAGACCACCAATAAACATTAACGTGTTGGGGCCAACTCTGATGACTTTGTATTTAGGAAGTTTTTTTACTACTTGAAATGAGCCACCTAGCTAAAGATAATGTAGGAATAATACTGCTTATCAAACTATACAAAAAAAAAAACAAACCATCCAGACAACTTTATTATAAGTAAATATCAGGAAGATGCAAATTACTTAAAACGTTATAGTTGCCTGTGAAGTGAGTTTGGTTTTTTTTTGTGTGTGTGGTAGTTTTTTTTTTCTGTTGTTTTTTTTGGCCTTTTTTTTGTGTGTGTTTTTTTTTTGTTTTTTTTTTTTTAATCCTAAATGTGCTGCTTAGCACATTTTAACGCATTAATAAAGTTTTAAAAGGATTTTTTTTTTTTTTTCCCCTAGGCTTGTATCAGTCATTAATCCAGTAGCCTAATCACAGACAGATCTCAGAAAACCTATTTGTATGCTTGTCACTTGCTATCAGGAAACTCTATTTTTGTAAATGAAGGATGAAGGTTCCCATTATTAAAGAATTTAGCCTGTTTTCTGTCCAGTCTATTTTCATTATTAAAATAACTTTTGTGAAAGATGTTTGATAGTTATGGGGTACCTTATTATGAGTTGCCTCTGTTGTTGTGGTTTTTGTTTGTTGGTGTTGTGTGTTGTGTTCTCCACACACCCTTCTTCAAGTTTTCCAGAACTCTAAATGATTTTCACTAGGAGGAGAATTCTTTAAGCTAGCTGTGACTGCAGACAGATCTCTAAAACTATAACCAGGGAAAATCAGTAACAAAATAGCTAGTATTGATGGGAAATTATCATTACTAAGCTTTTAGTAAACCTATTCCATTCAGGAAGAGTTAGAGATCTTCAGGAATAAGAAAAGAGAGTGCAGCAAGCTCACTGCCCTGGATTTCAAGAGAGCAGACTTTGGTCTCTTCAGGAACCTGCTTAGTAAGGTTCCATGGGATACTGCCCTAGAGGGCAAGGGGGGGCCAAGACTCTTGGTTGATACTCCAGGATCACCTGCTACAAGCTCAGGAGTGTTGTGTTCTGACTAGAAGTGCAGCAGGAGGGCCAGGAGACCTCCTTGGATGGATAAGGAGCGGCTGAGGAAAATTTGAGGGGAAAAAAAGAGGCTTATAAAGGTGGAAGCAAGGACAGGCTGCCTGGGAAGAATACAGGGATGTTGTCTGGGAAGCCAGGGACCAGGTTAGGAAACCTAAGGTCCAGTTAGAATTAAACTTGGCTAGGGATGTGAAAGATAACAGGAAGGGATTCTATAGGTACGTAGTGAATAAAACACATACTAGGGACAACATGGGCCCTCTCCAGAAGCTATCAGGAGAACTGGCTACAATGGATTTGGAGAAGGTTGAGGTTCCTAATGACTTCTTTGCCTCAGTCTTCACTGGCGAAGGCTCTGACCACCCCACCCAAGTCTTGGAAGGCAGACGCAGGGACTGTGAGAATGAAGAACTTAGGCCCACTGTAGGAGAGGATCTGGTTCAAGACTGTCTTAAGAACCTGAATATGCACAAGTCCATGGGACCTGATGAAATCCATCTGCAGGTCCTGAAGGAGCTGGCGAACAAAGTTGCTAAACCACTGTCAATCATATTTGAAAAATCATGGCAGTCAGGCGAAGGTCCTGACGACTGGAAAAAGGGAAATATAACCCCCATTTTCAAGAAGGGGAAAATGGATGACCCTGGGAATTACAGACCTGTTAGTCTCACCTCTGTGCCTGGCAAAATCTTGGAGCAGATTCTCCTGGAAGGCATGCCAAGGCACATGAAAAACAACAAGGTGCTTGGTGACAGCCAGTATGGCTTCACTAAGGGGAAATCCTGACTGACTGGGAGGCCTCCTGTGATGGGGCTACAGAACTGATAGACAAGGGCAAAGCAGTTGATGTCACCTACCTGGACTTGTGCAAAGCATTTGACACTTTCCCACATGACAACCTTGTCTCTAAATTGGAGAGACATCAATTTGACAGATGGACCGCTTGGTGGATAAAGAACTGGCTGGATGGCCGCACACAAAGAGTTGTGGTCAATAGCTCGACATCCAGCTGGAGACCAGTAACGAGTGGTGTCCTTCAGGGATGAGTGTTGGACCGGACTTGTTCAACGTCTTTGTTGGCTACAAGGACAGTGTGATTGAGCGTGCCCTCAGCAAGTTTGCTGATGACACCATCATGTGGTTTGGTTGATACCCTGGAGGGAAGGAATGCTATCCAGAGGGAACCTGACACGCTTGTGAGGTGGGCCAATGCCAGCCTTATGAAGTTTAACAATGCCAGGTGCAAGGTTGTACACCTGGGTTGGAGCAATCCTAGGCCCAGCTACAGGTTGGGCAGAGAAGAGATTCAGAGCAGCCCTGTGGAGAAGGACTTGGGGGGGTTGGTCTATGAGAAACTTAACATGAGCCGGTAGCATGCTCTCGCAGCCTAGAAAGCCAGCCGTATACTGGGCCGCATCAAAAGGAGCGTGACCAGCAGGTCGAAGGAGGTGATCCTGCCCCTCTACTCTGCTCTCATGAGACCTCACTTGGAGTATTGTGTGCAGTTCTGGTGTCCTCAACATAAAAAGGACATGGAACTGTTGGAACAATTTCAGAGGAGGCCATGAGGATGATCAGGGGACTGGAGCACCTCCCGTATGAGGACAGGCTGAGAAAGTTGGGGCTGTTCAGCCTGGAGAAGAGAAGGCTGTGTGGATACCTCATAGCAGCCTTCCAGTATCTGAAGGGTGCCTATGAGGATGCTGGGGAGGGACTCTTCATTAGGGACTGTAGTGATAGGACAAGGGGTAACGGGTTCAAACTTAAACAGGGGAAGTTTTGGTTAGATATAAGGAAGAAGCTCTTTACTGTGAGGTTGGTGGGGCACTGGAATGGTTTGCCCAAGGAAGTTGTGAATGCTTCATCCCTGGTGTTGTTCATGGCCAGGTTGGACGAAGCCTTGGGTGACATGGTTTAGTGTGAGGTGTCCCTGCCCATGGCAGGGGGGTTGGAACTTGATGATCTTAAGGTCCTTTCCAACCCTAACTATTCTATGATTCTAAGAGAAACAAAACAAGTTAAAGTAATTTAGAATTGCTGCTGGGAAGAAACCACAGAGAAGGTCAGACTTTCAAAAGTAGGTAGAAAAGGAGTGATGTAGGCAGATACAGTGACAAATCTAGGCAGCAGCATTGGTGATAGAGTAGGTAACAATGAATCTTTGGATGTTATTTAAATAATATGACTGTTTACAAATCTAGTAAGGCCATTTTCCCCTCTTTGATGTCTGTGTAAGCTTCCATAGTTGTTGCTCCAGGGTGACAGTTCTGATCCCAATTAATTATAGCTGGGTATATGGTAGCCACTATCACTACTTTGAAAAGTAAAGTGAAGTAGTGGATCAGGGCTGGCTTTATAGAAATACACAGCCTCATGTATTTTGCTTTATATTGTTTTAAAGGAACTCTTACCATGAATTGCAGAAGTTTTGAAAAACTTGT